ATCAGGCATAGATCACCCCCTTGATAACATAGTGCACAATCAATAGTACCCTTTAAGTATCTTAAAATCCTCTTTACAATATTTCAATGTCCTTCTCTGGGGTTGGATTAGTAGTGACTCACAAGTCCTATGGCATAACAGATATCTAGTCTTGAACACATCATTGCGTACATCCAATTACCGACTGCACTGGCCTATAGAACTCTTTCCATTTTCCTTTTGACTATCTTAGTTTTAGAACCCATATCAAGACTAAGCTTCACACCTGAAGCTACTAGGATATTCATGGGTTTACAATCTTTCATATTAAAACACTCAAGAATTTTTCTTATATAATTCTCTTGTGATAGATAAAGGAGCTTCTTAGAGCGATTTCTTTAGATTTTGACTCCAAGAATGTATTCAGCTTCACCCATGTCTTTCATTTCAAAATTCAATGAAAGCCATTCTTTAATAGCAATTATCGAATCCAAACTATTTCTGGCTAGTAGAATATCATCCACATAAAGAGATAATATTACAAAGTTTTTGTTAAACCTCTTGATGTAAATACAGTGGTCTTCCTCAATCATTTGGAAGTCATATGAGGTTATTGCTCTGTGGAACCTCAAATACCACTGTCTGGATGATTGTTTTAGTCCATAAATTGATCTATTTAATTTACATACATTATCTTCTTTTCCTTTTTCAATGAAACCTAATGGCTGTTGCATATAAATTTCTTCATCTAAACCACCATTTAGAAAAGCAATTTTTACATCCATCTGATTCAACTCTAAGTCCAGACTATTTACTATTGCCAGAATTAGTCTAATAGAATTGAAGCATACAATAGGAGAAAATGTATTCTCGTAATATATTCCCTCTTGTTGTGTATATCTTTTCACTACTAAGCGAGCCTTGTATTTATCAATTGATCCATTCACTTTTCTTTTGATTTTGAAAACCCACTTGTTCCTAATGGCCTTTTGGCCACGTGGTACATCAACTAGTTTTCATACTTAGTCCTTATGGAATCCATTTCTTTATCCATTGCTTTCTTCCATTTATCCTTAGCAGGTCCTAATAAAGTTTCATTTATAGAACATGGCTCATCATCATCTAAAGGAGTTACTATCAATGCTTCACCCTCAATTTGGAAGTGTCTTTTTGACACACTTTCTCTATTACTTTTTTAAAGTGGGGTCTCTTTTAGATTTTGATTCTTTTTAGGTCTTCGACAAACCTTTCAGAGCTCCCATTTAGATTAGCATTTTGTAGTGATTCAGGACTATCTATTTGTTCTATATTATGTTGCTCCCATATCTCGTAAAGAGATACAATTCGATCAATTTCTCCCTTACTAGGAAACTCATTTTCTAAAAATGTGATATTCCTATTTTCAAATTCAGTTATAGTTTCATCATCATTTTCACCAATGAAAACATAATCCTTTGATTGCTCAGAGTATCTTATAAAGATACATTTCTTCCCTCTTGGACCTAATTTTTCATATTGATGGGAATCATCATGGACATATGCAGCTAACCTCCATCGTCTTAAGATATTTAAATCTGGTTTGCATTTTGTCCATAACTTATAGGGCATGGAAGTAACTAATTTTAAGGGCACACGATTAAGTATGAAAGCTGCAGTCAACAAAGCATCCCCCCAATATGAGATTGAAAGATTTGTTCGTGCCATCATTGACCTAACCATGTCTAGAAGAGTCCTATTTCTTTTTTCAGCAACTCCATTCTGTTGTGGAGTGCCAGGAATAGTTAGTTGTCTAATTATTCATTTTTCTTCACAGATTCTTTAAATTGATCGAACAAGTATTCACGTCCTCGATCAGTTCGCAATGCTTTAATTATATTGTCCATTTGATTTTCAACCTCATTAATGTATCATCTCAAGCACTCAAGAGCTTTAGGCTTTTATGATATCAAATAGACGTTGACCAAAACGTGAAAACTTATCAATAAAAGTAATAAAATACCAAGCTCTGTGTTTTGCCCTTATATTCATAAGACCACATATATCAGAATGGATTAATTATAATGAATTTTTAGCCCTAACACCTTTATCAAAAGGTTTTCTCTTTGCTTTACCAGCTAGACAATTTTCACATAAGGACATTTTCATATTTGTAATTGGACCTAGCATTTCTTCTTTAGCTAGCTTAATCATTCTATTTTAATTAATATGCCCTAATTTAGCATGCCAGATATTCATATCAACATTATTGGAAGAGGTGGTAAAGCAATCATGAAAATAAACTTTGTCAACAATATCCATAATAAAGAACTTTTTTGAAAGAAAAGCACAACTATAAAAAGTTGAATTTACATAATGTCAACAATCTTATCATGAAAATTAATTACAAACCCAAATTCTAAAAGGTAAGCAATTGAAATTAAGTTCTGTCGGATGTTCGGTGCATGTAAAGCATCATGGAGAATTAAGGTTTTTCCACCTCGCAAGTTCAACTTGCAAGTTCCTATGCCTTTACCTCGATCCTTACATTGTTGCCAACGTAAAGCTATTTGCTTTGATTTAGCAACCGACGATACTCTATGAAGGATCCACAATCCTTGCTTATGTGGTTTGTAGAGCCTGAGTCTACAATCCAAGAACAGGAAACAGTTTTTGTTAGAAAAATATTATTGGAAACATAAGAAAAATGTGAATTCACATAATTCACAAGTACCTGATCACGTCCACTTTGCTCAGGATAATCCTTTGTAAAATGGCCCATCTTTTGATAGGCAAAAATTTTACCTTTTTAAGGTTAATTCTTTTTTTTGTCGCTCTTCTTTCCCTTCTTCTTGAAAGGTTATTTGTCCTTCTTTACTTTAAGGCCACTCTTGTTACACTTCTTTTATTGTTTCTTGCCCCTCTTGGGCTTAGAATTTGAAGGACCACCTTCTTCAATAAGGTAAGCCTATCCATATGACTTGTAAGCCTCTAAACATTCAGGTTCTAGGTCCAGGTGCTTAGCCTCATCATTAAAGTTAACGATATTTTTATTGTGGATTAGATTAACTTTCATATGCTCCCAGCTGATTAGGAGTGATATGATTACAGCCTATACTTGCTGTTCATTAGAAAGATCGTGCCTAGCTTCTTTAAGTTCACATATCATGTTGGCCATCTCTCTAAGGTACTACCGCATATGAGTATTTAGCTTTAGTTTATAAGTGTTAAATTTAATTGTAAGCCTTCTCAATTTGGTAGTTAAGGTACCACCAAACTTTTCTTTTAAGGAGCCCACATGGATTGAGTAGTAGAGTGCATCTTAAATTCACACATCAGACCATCCGCCATAGCACTTAGAAGTGTTATTCTTGTGATGCTATTTTTCATTTTCATACTGTAAGTGCCTCTTAGTCTCTCCTATACTGAGCCGAGTTTCCTACCTCAAGCTCAACCATGACCACAGTTAGTGGTTCAACAACATCTTATTCTTCCAAAATATATGATACCTTACAATGTCAAATATCCCAGTTATCCTTGTTTAATTTGTCACCCTTATTCAATTCAGTGATAATGCTTTTTATTGCCATTCTTAATTCTAAGACGAAACTATCCCATATTAATAGTTTTTTATATTAAACTAAAAATAAAATACTTATGAAAAATATATAATGTCTTATATTCGTATTATTCTTTATTAGAATGATAATAACTCTATTAGGTCAACAATCAAAAGGCTACGTTTGTATCTCCCATCACATTGATTTTAACAAAATCACTATCATCTATAAATAATTTTACAAATATTTTCACAATCATCATATATGGCTCTTAAATGACTTTATCACTTTAGAGCTCTCACTCAAATAAAGTATATATAAAGCAATAAAAAAATAAAACAACATGCTTCATATATATCATAAATCATCAAGGTCTTAATATAATATAACTTAACTAAAAATAAATTCTTCAAAAATAAAAGAAATGCTTAAGGTACAGACCTAAAAAGACAACTCTAAATTATGTCTTTATATTTTTCTTGTACTTTCATCCCCTTGATGACTCTATTCCATAGAGGATTTTCTAGGTACAACTTGTTTCGCTTATTATGTTACACAAGCTCTTTCCTAAATTGTTTGAAAATTTTTCCTACAACCGTGACTTGTTTTTCTTTTGTTATGAAGCTTGAATATGCTTTCACTATCGAAGAAATTTGATCAAGTTTTTTTATTATTTTAGCTTCTCTTTTTGCTATATTTATAATCACTAAGGGTTTGAAAGGTTGTTTCACATCTTCATTTTCATCTTGAACATTCTCATCACCTTTTGATTCATATTTTGGTTTCAGCAGCATGCACACCTCTTTTGGTCCTTTCGGCACATTTTCGAGATCAACATTGGATCACTCGTCAAGATCAAAATCAAAATTCTCACTTTGAGGTCATATTCCTCCTCCTCCTCTTCGAAGGGTTCTGGGTCAAAATCCTCACTAAGAGGCTCATATTCTAATTCATCCAAATACTCACCGCTAATAGAATTTTGTGAGTTATCAATGCTGCTAGAAACCTCTTACTTCATATTTGCCTAAAAAAATAAAACAAAAAATTTAGGAATTAATTTTTTTATTAAACTCATAAAATACACTAGATAACTCAAAAAATAAATTATTGTTTTATATCTAAAATATGCAAATTATATATCAAAATGAAGATCTCAAATTTAGGGATTTTTTAAGACAATTGTGTCTTAATCTAGTCCCACACACGCCTGTTCATGCCTCAAGAATGATTCTGGATTAAAAAATTCTAGAAAAAAATTAAAAAAAAGGTATTCCACTCTCAGGAGGCACGTGTACAACATGCGCCACCTTATCGTGGCTCCAGTGATGACACGAGCTGGTCTGTTGTGCTCCACACTCCGATGGCTTCTGGGAGGGGTCAACCAAGCGCCAATGGAGTCTTCCAATAGGTCCTACATGCCACGTGTCCAAATATTTATATATATTTTATTTTTTAAAAAAATCAAATTAAATATATATTTTTTATTTTTATTTATTTATATATATTTTAATCTGGTTTGGGTTATATGTACCCGACCCGTGGACCCATAATCCAAAAAAAAAAAACTACTTTTTTTTTTGGTTGGGCTTAGAATCCCAAAGTTGTTTTGTTTTTTTTAGGGCTTCTGGGCTCACTAACCCAGAAGCATCCCCTTTTCTTTTTGAACGACACGAGGACAGAAACAACGTGTCATTTCTGTCATCGTCTACCTCCAACCTAATCAACTTGACCTGCTTCCTCCAACAGATTGGGTCCGTCGGACTTGAAACTTTCAGAGGCCATATCTCCTCCATCTGATCTCCGTTTTATGCGTTCTTGGTGTCATTTTTTTCGAGCTTTACACATTTATGCAATCTTTTAGTTCAAAAAACTCAGTTTTCAAACACCCATTATTTGGTTTATTTTTTATTGTTACGTTCATCATTATTGATTTTGGCAATAATAATCATAAAGACAGACAAAGGCAGATTCATACAAAAATACAGTAAGAAAATAAAAAATTGAACTTGTAGATTTGCATGTATATGGTTAAGCAAATCAATATAGGTTCTTCAGACATAGAAAACACAACCCAAGAAAAATGAAAGCTCTGATACCAATGTAAGAATCTGAGGAGGAAAGCATACCTTGAGTAATTGATTTGCACAGATGTATGCGGGAACAAAGCCACACCAGATAAACTTTATTCAGATGCACACAGCAAATGCATACATAGAAAGATGAGAAGCCAAGAAAAAAACTGAGAGCATTCTGTTTTTTTCACTCAAAAAAAACTGAGTGAACTGCACCCATAACCAAGGATATATGGGAATGTGCGGCAGGCTTTGTTTATCAACCATTCCCTCTTAAAATTCAAAGGTTGAAGAAAATTACATTTGAGGCCATGAGTAAATTACATATTGAACCCAAGCATTTCTCATAATTATGATAATAACCCCATTTCTCAATTTAGGCTTTTATATGGGCCTAATCCACCAAGGGTGGATAACCCAATAATGGCTTTTTATGAGCATTCAATATCTGTAAGTAATGGATGACCTTATGCACTAGTTACTTGTTCTTTCAGGAATTCAGCCTTGGAAGTTCCAGATACTCTTGAAATTTTAAAGCTTAGTTTCTAGATATCATTTATGAACTGTCTTGTCTGTTAAAAGGAACTAACATGTGGCATATGATGGAAGGTTATCTCTTAAATATGGCTCTGACACTATTAGGATCCTTCTATTTATTTTCAACCTAGTCCGTGTTCTGTAAAAGATAAGTCTGCTGATTTTGTGATCTGATTTCTTTGCTTATAATGAGTTATGAGTCAAATTCAACTGATTCCATACTATCGACTGAAAACCAGAGAGGATTGGCTCGTGTTGAAATAAATATTCAACCTTCTATATCAGTTTATTTTTTGTTGTCTAATTATCACAACATTGTCTTTCTTTGGAAATGATTGGAAGTTTAGACTATCTGCGCAAAGAATTTGATTTGGATATACAGTTCTTGTTAATGACTAGACTGATCTTGCTGGCAAGCACAAATACATTTTCCCAAATGTTGAGGTTCCTACTCTTCCAATGCATTTTTGTGGAGTAACTCTTCATGTAATGCTGGTGGTGGAAGCTTACCCATGACGGGTGTCACTCACAACTTTCCCCCTTTATTTTCTTTGTGCCAAAAATTTTATATTGTCTTCAAATAAGTAGGAATAAATATGAATTTTGATGTAGTTACTGGTGGTGATTTTAATATGAATAAATATGAATTTTAAATACGTTTGTACAAATCATTTGCTGTTGGTCTTGCATAAAAAGTTGATTGAATTTATTTCTTAATTGGATTTACTTATTCAATTTTGGCAAGTTTGACCTTGAAGATCCAAAATAGAATCTCATGCTGCCATCATTTAGCTTAGTGATATTTGCTAGCTCATTTGAAGCCACATGCGAACTTTAAACTTGTTAAAATGTTATCTTAAAAGTTTTTGGCTACTTCCTCTCAAGGGCATATTCTGTGAACTTACTCCAGAGTCAATTCCTTCTGTTGATCGGCTTCATGTGTTATTAATTAATTATTGTTCTCTGTCCGATTGATCGAATAATTAATTGATTAATTATGTTAACAAATCATAGTTCACTCACAATTGGGACTGCGCTGCCTATATTGAAAATACTATAAGGAAATTTGAACTGCTTTTATTTTGGTCAACCTAAGACTGAACAAGACACTGGATTGCTTCTTGCTTTATTTGATTTTATCAACTCTATTGAACTGCATATTGAAATCATAGTTGGACAAGGTTCTATAATGACGACCTGAGGAGATAGATTGGGTCAAGTTTTGTCATCCCATACGTTCTCAGGGCAGGGTTGTGCACCCTTGAGGGTCGGACACGAAATCTATAGATTGTTATTAGAAAAGGATTGTGTCGATGAACTTTACACCACGTCTTCGGAATGATAATGTGATATGGCTTTCTGTTAAGCCTGTATACCGAAGTTCACCATATACATGTAAGGAACTTATTAACTCTGTTTTCATGCTTTATTTGTAATTGCCCTTAAATTTTATAAAGTGTTAGATTTTTCTCTGATTCAAAGTTGACTTAATATTCAGTGGTTGTTACAGGCATCATGGAAAGGAGAATGGGGACCTTTTTCTTGGGTGTTGCTTGGGCATGTGATCCCAGAGAATTGGCTAATATTGATCTTTTGAGTGGTAACAAGGCAAACTCTGATGCTTTAAGTAAAATTGTTAATCGTCCGCATTATCTTCTTTGTTTGCTTTTAAGTTTTCCTGATCTCTTAGCATTTGTTTATGTTGCATGAGGAGTGAAAATTCCCTTTTCTGATCGCTCTCCCAGGAACAAGTTTTCTGTTCCAAGAAATTTTGCAACAAATTAAAGGATAGTTTAATACCCGAGAAAAACCAAAGTTATCCTTTTTTTTTTTTTTGCCACAGAACAAAAGTGGTCACGTTTTTACTAATTCATGTTGAGACACATGTTAGGCATGACTCAACACATTAAATTGCATATAAAATTTTAAGAATTTGTCAAAATGTCATTTCCATCTTAGTGTCAAGTTCTATGCTCATGCTTCCTTGGCTCTTTGATAACATGATTGCTTTCTAATATATATCCATCATGCTTGAATTGCTGATTATATTCTTTTAATCCTTATTAAATATTATTTTCATCAAACCTTGTCCCTTTTGACTTTTATATCTTTCTGTTTTATTTCTGAACAAGCCCTGTAACACAACTCCCAACTTATGTTCTTTGGTTCTGATTATTAATTTGAATGATTTCTTGATTTGAACTTCAATGTAATGGACCACAAATCATTCACTAAATAACAGCCAACTTTTTTTTACAGAACTTCTTATTGTTGAGAACCTAAAGGGTGAATGGATGAACAGATGATAACTTATCTCGCACTAAATACTCACTTTGTTCCTTCTGTATTGCACAGTGCACTACTTTGGTGGATAATTATGCTCCTCTACTCTGTGGACTGATTAATAATAGAAAGGGCTTGAGAACACTTGCTGGTATGTTTTCTCAAATATCCTTGTATAGACCAAAAAAAAAATAAATAGGGACTTATTTCTTGCCATAGGACCTGGTATCGATAAGCAACGTGCTAACCATATCCTTTTTTCATGCTGATATGGATCTTGCAAGGTTGTTTTGCTAAGGACTTATTTCTTGCTATATTGTTTTGCTAACAATATACTTGCTGTTTTTTTTTTTTTTTAGTTTTTATGCTCTTGCTTTGTTGTCCCTTAGCCTACTTCTTTTTCAGCTCTATGTTTCTTATCAGAATACCTTCTTTGTTTTCTTGTCTGCTCCTGTTTTTCATGTCAATTATTTGTTCATTCCTTACCCAAAAAACAGGAAATTTGTGAAAGGAAGATTGTCAATTCAATGCATCAACCAATTACGGGGTTAGTATGTTTTTCTCTCTTGCACCCCATACACGTTTGTTTTATGTTAAATAGTAATGTTGCAACGATTATTTCAAAACTTTCCGATGAAGGACTTGATAAGCTTTTAGTTTGAAATAAAGAAGCACGGTTTTAATTTATAATTATATATACTTTATTAAAATTTTGATCTTGATATGATTTTTTTGGTTTGAATTAATTAATTAGCATATATTAATCTTACAAATGATGTCGCATGTCTCCCTGCATGTACAATGCTTCTTAGTTAAAATGATTTAAAATTTAAAGTAATGAACATTAATTATTCTTAATGAAATATCTTGATTTACTGTTATTTGGCACTCATATTTCTCATGAAGTCTCTCATTTCATGGATTTTACTTTTTATATTGATGATTATTGTCGTCAAGTCTTCGGTTGGATTTCAACAAGAAAATAAGTTGGACATATCAGTTTTGAACTCAAAATAGATTAGGAGAATATATATTTATGGATGAAAAGTGAAATTCAGCCAAAGACTCTTTCCTTATCATAATTAAACAAAAAACTCATATATATTTCATGAAATAATACTCCCTCCGTTCAAAAATATAAAATATTTTTTTAAGAATTAGAGATTTAAAAATATAAGGCATTTTTAATCTTTCAAAATGAATCATTGTCTTTTTTTTTTAAAGTACCCCTATTAATAGTGACTTTATATTTATTATTTAATAGGGGTAAATATGAAAAGATAGGGTTAGTTTGAAAATTGATAACTACTTTATTAGGAGTAAAATTTGATTAAAAATGTGTTACATTTTTTAACGGAGGGAGTATGTTGTATCTAAATTATTATTATTATTATTATTATTATTATTATTATTATTATTATTATTACAACATAACGATGTTAATGATTCTTAACTTGGGAATTTATATTGAAAGTAATTTCAAAATTTTATTAAAAAATAGTTATATAAAACAAAATATTTATAGGAAGTTATGGATGATTATTGGAAGAATATTCAATAGTCGTGTGCATAAACTAATGAAGATATATCAACTACATATACATATTTTTTACCTTTTATATCTAATTAACTTTTTTTTACAAAATTTGAAGATATTTTTTCTTTGATTTAAATTGTATACAAAACTAATGACTTGTATGATTTTGTTTTCTATTTTAATGTGCCGCTAACAATTCTGTAGTATAATTTTTGACTCTACATTTAAAAAAAATTCTAGAATTCTAGTTTCTTACAACTTTAATTTTGAAAATAGAATAATTTTTAACTCTGTAGTATAATTTTTAACTCTACATTTTAATTATTCAAAATTGATAGTAAAAAATAGGATATCAAATTAGCCTTAAACAATTTATGGCTTTTACTTACAGGTTTTAGAAAATTTTAAATCAGGTGGCTTGTGGACATCATATCTTTTAAAGCCTGAAAGACTTGGTGTTTGTGGCATATTTGATATTTACTCTCACACTTAGACATTTTTCCACTAGTAAAGACGTTTTTAGACTCACACTTAAGGAAGAAATTATTAGACTGTCTAAATGTGAGTGTTCCATCGCTCATCGCCTATTTATTCTCTCCATTGCTTTCAAATGATCGCTCTCTATTCTTAACAAATGGTATTAGAAACAAGTTTTGTCTTGAAGTTGAAAACCCAAATTGTGCACAAGTTTGAAGCCCAAAATGAGACTTGTTTGCATCACACTATTTGAAGCCTGAAAACAATGTTTGCAGCATCTTTAATATTCCGCAAAAGTTTGAAGCCCAAAATGGGACACATGCCTGGATTGCAAGAACATGAACTCAATATTTGTGGCATTATTGATATTTTGTAAAATTTTGAAGCCTAAAATGGGACTTTGTGCATCACATCATTTAAAGTCCAAAAATTGGGTTTGCTTGATTTTAGGGAGAGAGAGACTTGATGTTTGCAGCATCTTTGATATTTCACAAAAGTTCGAAGCTCAAAATGGGACATGTTTATGTCATTTAAAGCCCAAGCTAGCCCCAATAGCAAGAACATAAACTTTGTATTTGTGGCATCTTTAATATTTTATAAACGTTTAAAGTTGAAAATGGGACTTGTGTATCATACTGTTTGAAGCCTAAAAATTGGGTTTGATTTCAAGAAGAAAGAGACTTGATGTTCGTGACATCGTTGATATTTTGCAAAAGTTTAAAGCCTAAAATGGGTGTTCCTTTGATATTCCACAAAAGTTCGAAGCCTTTATGGAACTTGTGTGCATCATGCTTTTTGAATCTAAAAAATTAGGTTGGCGCTAATTATAAGAGCAAAGACTTAATGCTTGTGGCATATTCGATATCAGGTTCTTCTAAACTCACACAAATAGTATTAGAGTTAGGTTTTGTCTAGGATTTGAAAGCCCCAATTATGCACAAGGTTAAAACCCAAAATGGGACTTTTGTACATCATACCTTTTGAAGCTTGAAACTTTGACCAGCCTTAATTGCAGGAACAAAGACTTAATATTTTTATGTGGCATCTTGGATATATTAGGTTCTTCTAAACTCATATTTCACCTATTTGTTTACACTCCTTATTTTCACGTGAGTACTCTTCATTCTTAACAAGTAATGCTAGAGTCAGGTTTTGTTTAGGACTTGAAAGCCTTAATTACACACAAGTTCAAAGTGCAAAATGAGACATGTATACATCATGTAATTTGAAGACTAAAAATTAGGCTGGCCTTAATTGCAAGGATGAGGACTTTGTGGTTGTGACATCTTTGATATCCATAAAAATTTAAAGCCTAAAATGTGACTTTGCTGCATCGCACTTTTTAAAAGCTAAAAATTAGCCTGGCCATAGACTTGGTGTTTATGGCTTCTTTGACGTTCCACAAAAAGTTCAAAGCCTGAAATGGGAATTGTGTGCATCATATTGTTTGAAACCCAAAAATTAGTGTTTATGGCATATCTGATATTGAGAGCTTGTGAACTTACATTTGAGGGAGAAATTATAAGGTAGTTCAAGAATGAGTGTTTTATCACTTATCACCATTTTTTTCTTTTTGCTTGTTTTCGGGTGGTCATTCACTATTCCAAATAATTGGTATCAAAATCAAGTTTTGAAGCCTAAAATAGGACTTATGTGCATCACACTATTTGAAATCTAAAAATTAGGTTGGCCCTAATTGCATAAACAAAAACTTGGTGTTTGTGACATCTTTGATATTAGAAGCTTGCAAACCCTTCCTACTTCGCCCAATTATTCTCGAACAATCATTCCTTATTCCCAAAAGATGCTATAAAAGTCAGGTTTGTCCTAAACTAAAAATCCCATATAATGCACAAGTTCAAAGCTCAAAATGGACTTGTGTACATCACACCATTTGAAGCTTAACAATTGATAGCCATAATTTGAGTGATCACTCCTTATTCCTAACAAACGGTATTAAATGCAAGTTTTGTCCAAGACTTCAAAGTCCCTATTACACTCAAGTTTGAAGCAAAAAATGAGACTTGTGTTGATTATAATATTTGAAGCCAAAAAATTAGGTTATCCATGATTGTAGGTACATAGACTTGATGTTTGTGACATTTTTTATATTTGGTACTTATGAACTCATACTTTGCTCATTTGTTCACTCGCTTTTTTCGAGTAGTCACTTTCTATTTCTAACAAATGGTATAAAAGATAGGTTTTGTCTAAGACTTTAAAAGTTGTATATAAGTTTAAAGCATAAAATTGGACTTGTGTGCATCGTATCATTTGAAGCCCAAAAATTAGGTTAGCCCTAATTATAAGAACATAGACTTAGTATTTCTAGGATATTTGATATTGAGAGCTTCTGAATTCACACTTAAGGGATAGATTGTTAGGCTATCCAAGTGTAATTGTTTTATCATTCATCATTCATTTGCTCTCTCTCCTCAGTTTTAGGTAACCATGCCCTATTTCTAACAATTAGTATTATAGCACACACTTTTAAAGCCAAAAATAGGACTTTCATGTATCACATAAATTGAAGACTAAAAACTGGGCTAGCTCTAATTGTAGAATAAAGACTTGGTGTTTGTAGCTTTGTTGATATTTAGTGCTTGTAAACTCACACTTGAGTCAAGAATCATGTTCTGATTCTTAAGTTTGAGCTACAACATACTAGGAAAGGTAGATCTCCTATGGTGAAATATTTATCTAAGATAAGAGGTATTTCTGAACAACTATCGATTGCTAGCTAACCTATTTCTCTTCTTGACCTAATCATTTATACTTTATCTAGTCTTGATGTTGAATACAATCTTATTGTGCTTCAATTGAGCAAGGAATTTGATAAGCTCAACCAAATTGAATTTCAAGCTTCTTTGCTTATGTTTAAAGGACATTTAGATCAACTTCATTAGTTTTCTCAATTGAGCATTACCACAAACTTTACTAACTATGCTAAAGTTGACATTTTTCATTTAAACTATGGTTAATGGCATGGTGGTTGTAGTTCACGAGGCTTAAGAAGATATGGCCATAGTGCTCACAACAACAAATATGATAACAGTGAAGAACATCCACAGTGTTAGTTGTGTGAGAATTTTAGGCACAAAGTTGAGACATGCTTTTATTGATTTGACAAAACTTTCATGAAGCTTGGCTCTAAGAAGAAACAAGGCTCTTTTGGAAGTACAACTTCTAATTTCAATATTGCATTTTTGGCTGCACTAGAAACGGTCAATGATAATGCTTGATACTTAGGCGCAACTAGTCATGTCACTAATGATGTCAATCATATGGACAATCCTACTCCTCCTAATGGTAATGTTAAAATTGTTGTTAGTAATGGTGAAAAATTTTTTATTTAAAAAATTGGTTCCTTCACCATTCAAAATGTGCCTAATAAGACCGTGAAACTTCATAATATTATATACTCTCTTAACATAAAGAAGAATTTGGTGAGTTTTCATAAGGTGGCCTCAGATAATGATGTAAATGTTGTGTTTAACTCTCTTGGTTTTTTTGTTAAGGATCATCAGACAGGGGAGATAATGCTATAAGGACCATCAAGTAGAGGTGTAATAGACATCTATCATTATAATAAAAACTAAAACTGCAAAAATGTTTACCATGGTGAAAGAAAATCTAAAGCCTAATAATATCAAAATGAACATATCTTTTAAAGAATACAGATAAGTACTTTTACTCTTCAGAATTTATTCTCCACTATAATAGGCTCTTACTATAATGTTTGAAAGTTACTTTGCAAATTTAATTATTAAAAACTATGCATTAAAAAAAATATAGGATATCTTAAACCTTAAATCTTATATGATATATTTCAATCTCAAACAACCACCCAGAGCCTCAGGCCCATCTATTAGCATGCAAAACCCAAAAAGGTTGTGTATATATATATATAAACATCACAGTCATCCATAAATAATTAAGTGTAATATGCAAAATATGTCCTAGTCCTAATTGGCTTATACATAATAGAGACATATTCTATTGAAGCAAACTCGAGGCATATAATTGTTGCCTTAAGTCTTTATGTACTATTGTCTTACTAACCTCAAACCATCACTTGAAAATGCCATAAACCACAATGTGAGACCAAAGGATCCCATTAAAAATAGAATAACCACAAATGCATATAGGCATATTTGGAGGCAATTAAGTGAGTTTCAATTAAATAACTAATAACACATGCATGTTTGTGCGCGTGCACGTGCGCGAGTGCAATCTAAGGTAGAACAACAACCATTCACATATTAGATAGTCAGACTAATAGGTACACATACATCACCATAATTCATTTTAATCGATATATAAATCAAATACCTCTCTTATTTCCTCCTTATACCTCTGACTAAACCTATAAGCTATCAATAGTAATAGGATCTATCCTTGTGATTGGACCTTACTAAGCTCTCCAGTGAGAGGATGCCACTAAGCCAAAGGTACAAAGCCAGACACTAGACCATGGGTCTCCTCTCTTTATGAAATTCACAAAGAGGTGCCATATGTCTTAAAGCTTAACCTTGATCTCGACCACAGGAAAGGAGAAGTACCAAGGCCCTGAGAAAAGAATCCAACCATTGGGCGCCTAATGGTGGCAAACCATATGATCAAAATAATATTATCAACATTCCTCCCATAACAAACTCCCAACTTCCTCTCCCATCATTAACTCCCATCAATGCATACCAATAGAGATTTTCAATAAAAATCAAGTATAATTCATAAGTCAAGTTCTCATGCATAATGTCTTGCTAATGTACATACACACCAATTCTTAAGTAAAGCACATATTATATCAGAACTCATTTAATTATACATGTACACAGTAGCACTTTTAAAAAGTAGTCATCCAATTATTTGTCAAAGAAATTCCTAATCTAACTTGTATATAAATTTAACATACACATACCTTATAGTCATACGTGACATCACCACTACTTTCTTCATGCTACACTTTAACGAGTATAAACATTGTAATCACCATCTTTTGCCCCAAGTTTTCTCACAAATCATGACATTTACATTATAATCTTATTATATAGTGATTAACATTTAATTGAAAATAAGTCTAAAATAAAATTAAACACAAGAGATAAATTAAATGTGGTTACCTCACGCCAAGCTAAAAACAATAGGTGTTAGCTAAACAACTTCCCTAGCTAGAGAGCAAGAATTATCAAAATAAATCCACAAAAGTCAAGTAAATTTCCATAAATGTCAAGTAATTTGCCCAAAGCCCCTTTTTTGTAACTAAATCATAAATTTCCACCCCAAATGTCATAAGATTAACCTCAAATTATACCTTATCACTTCTCTTAAATTCCCTAAAATATAAAAATTTAATTTAATAATATCTATACCAATAAAAACATTCTTTAACACTAATTGTTCCCAATAATCCTTTATAATTCAGATCATCATTTGATTTCATAATAATCAACAATTAAAGTCTAGGATCAATCTCTAATCCATTCAAAACCTCAAATCTACAAGATAAACTGGTTAAACACCTTAGAAGTCTCTATTTATCTTAACTATAACTTTTGAACTCAAATTAGTTGATTTAGTCCTCTAAGAATTTGGTTAACTTGCATACAACTCCACCACCATCTTCAAATCTACCAATATAAAGAAAGGACAGTAGATAAGATGTAGAAACCACTTACTAG